GATTAAATTAGTATTACACTTATCATTTCTTGGCATTACACTTATTCCAAATTTATCTTATAACTGTTTTTAAGTAATATCACTCATAATGTAGATTTGTATTACTTTACATGTATTTAAACAGATGTAATTTAACATAGAATAACAAGTATCTAAGTAATAACTAGTAATAAAAGTATAGAAGTTAATTAATACTTCTAAATAATCTTTTACTTATTGTTATCTTTGATTTATTATTTATTTAACTTTGACTTACCCAACTAGTGGAAGTTATTTTTTGTATTTTAATAAATCATTCACTTGAATCATAAAATACTTATCCAACTAATAGAAGTATCAAAATCTATTTCTTTTTAATACTCTCTCCCAATCATCTAGTATCCAACTCTCTCAAGTACACACAGTCACTATTATCACTCTTATATAATTCTTAATTAATTACTATAATTAGTTAATATTTTGCCTATCAACATAAGAATGGTAATAGCTTTTTGGTGCTCCCTCTGTGGAGGGTAAAATTGAAACTAGATACAACTTAAATCACTTTTCAAACTGAATCCATCTAAACCAACTGAAGTTGAGATTTGTCGTCAACTTGTTGATATTATAAGAGAAATAATTAACATTAAACTTACAAAAAAACAAGACAGAGAATTATTTAAACTTCTCCATAATCTATTTGAAGCTGATATTACCAAACAAAAGTCTCAAATTAATACTATCAAATATTGATTACAACAGTGGTTAACACCACATACACTTTTAAAACCATCTGGATTATTTAATTATCTCAATAACTTAACTGAAAAAGTTCGAATTTTCAACCAACAAAGACAATCTTGATTATTCAAATATAAAATAGAACAAAAATCTCACTCATTGACATCAATATTAACAACTACAAGTCAAGAATCACATTCACAAACAGTAGCAACAACATCAACAATCGTTCAAAATATTAAACAAAGTTTTCAAAACTACCTAGAAACATCATCAACAACTCAACAAACTCAAAACTTTAAAGAAGAAGAACAAGATGCTTTAATTCTTGATTCATCTCTATTATTACCAGAAAACATCAAATTAAAATTATCACCACCATCATCATTATCTTCATCACCAACAATGACTACTCTAAATGCCACTCTTAAACAATTAGCAGATCTAATTAGTAATTAAAATCAAGATTCAATTCCAATTTTAACATTTCATGGAAATAGTCAAGATGATCCAATCACTTGGATAGAAGAATTTGAACAAGCTACAAGAGCTAATAATATGAGTGATGAAAGAAGAATTCGCATTATACCAAAATACCTATGTGGTATTATCAATTATTGGTACAAAAATCAAATACAAGCAAATAATGCATGGCCCACACATTATAATGATATTAATAATCAAGAAACTCTTTCAAACCATGTTTTTTAAATAAATTTCATATACAAACTCAACTGTTACTATGGCAATAACAAGTAAATAACTGTATTCAAAGCGCAAATGAATCAGTTAGTCAATATGCAGCTGATATCTGCTCATTGCTTCACAAAATTGACCCAGACAATACTTATCCAACTCAATACAGAATTCGTGAATTTACCAAAGGTCTCAATTCACAATATGTCTTTTTCATTAATTTATATCAATCTGAAATATTTGAAAAAGCTATTTCTATTGCTATTGAAACAGAAACTGGATTCAAAACCACTTATAACAATCTATTTACATTGACAACCTCAACTATATCGTACAATTATGAATTATCAATGCAATCAAACACACTAACAACTAATAACACTAATATCAACACAACTTTGTTAGAGTTGACCAAAAAAATTAAAAATTTGAACAACAATAATAACAATAGTAATAATCACAACAATTTTTAATGCAATAATAATAATAATAATAATAATAATAATAATAATAATAATAATAGAACCAGCTTTAATCACAATAATATTTCATGTTATTGTTACTGTTTCTGTTGATTTATTAACTTTTAAGTATAGATCACATATTCTTCACGTGTCTTAATTAAATGAGATAGTTATTAAAGATTTTTTATGTATTAAAGTAATTAAGATTGGGAGAGACTAATTTAATAAAAATAGGTAATGATGTGTTCATTTTGTTGAACTGCTAGAATGAGTTCAGAAATCTTCTTTTAATTTAAATGATTTAATTGTTAAGTAATCTTCTTTTATTGATTAACTTTT